GAATGGCCGTGATTTAGGGGGGGGGAGGGTTGGGGGGAGGGGGGGTTTGATTGGGTGGGGGGGTCCTGTTGTCACTGGAGCCATTCGTGCTCCCCCCGGGCCGGGGGGTTCACTCTCTCATAATGAGATGGAACGAAGTCGTTCGGCCTCTTCGCCCCCCCCTTTTTATCAATAAACCGAGGTCACCCCGGGCTGTGTCTGTGTTCCCCCGGTCCCGGGGTCCCGGGGATCGCCCCCCGAGAATTGCAGTGGGGGCGGGGCCGTGGCCACGGCAGCCAATCAGAATCAGGGCGGGGCCAGGGGCTCGCCCGGCCTCGGCCAATGGGAGCGCGGGGGGCGGGGAACGCGGAGACCCCGGGACCCCCGAACGGGCCGGGACCACCGGCACAGCCCTCGGGGACAGCACCGACGGGACCCGCGGAACCCAGCAGGGCCCCCAGGGCGAGCAGAGCCACCAGGATCCCCAAACCAGCCAGGATCCAGGGGCCGACTGAGACCGTGGGACCCCCGGAGCGAGCCGGGACCCCCGGCACCAGGTGAGGCCGCAGCCGGCACCCCCTGTAGCACAACTCCCCACCTGCCCCCCCGTGCTGCGCTCCCCCCGTCCCGACCTCCCACCACAAGGGGTGAGGATGATCCAGGGTGGGGGGAGCTGATGTTCTGTGTCACCCACCCTGAGCCCCCAGACACCCCTCGGATCTGGGGCGCCCGGCGCGGGGAGCCATTACTGTCCCGTGGGTGTCACCCTCGGTGTGTGTCACTCCCCCTTCCCTGGGTCCTGTTCCCCCCGGGCTTTACCCCGCGGCCCCCCCAGCTGGCGGCAGTGGCGGATCAGGCTGCAGCGGCTGAGGGGTGACAGGGGGGTGTCCCCACTGACCCCCCCATACACAAGCCAGGTGTCCCCATGCTGCTCGTGAGCCTGCAGAGCACGTGGCTGCCTTTCCACGGGGGCGTCTTGGTGGGCTTCATCACCACCTTCCTCCTCCTGCACGGCCTCCTGCTGCCCCAGCCTGTGCCTGCCCCCAGCCGGGACCCCCGGGCGGCCAATGACCCCCCCGGGGCCCCGGTGCTCTACGGCGTGGCCCCATCGGACGCTGCAGGTGGGCGCTGCTGCCATGGCAGGTGGCACTGGCTGGGGACATGGGGGACTCTGGTGGGATCGGGCTGGCAGGAGAACGCGGGGGGACCTCACTCCCTGTGTCTGCTCCATTTGTTGGGGGACGGTGACCACACCCCGACTGCGGCAGCGCGGGGACCTCGGGGGTCTCTGCTCCGCGGTCAGCGCGGCCCCTTCTCCGGCAGGCGAGGACGCGGGGGTGGCGCGGGGGCTGTTCCAGCGGGTCCGGGTGCTGTGCTGGGTGCTGACGGCACCCCAGAACCTGGAGAGCAGAGCCCGGTACGTGCGGGACACTTGGGCGCGGCGCTGCAACGTGGCCGTGTTCGTGAGCTCCGAGCCCGCCCCGCATTTCCCGGCCGTGGGGCTGGGGGTGGCCGAGGGCCGGGGGCAGCTCTACTGGAAAACCATCCGGGCTCTCCAGTACGTGCACCGGCAGCACCGCGCCAGCGCCGACTGGTTCCTCAAGGCGGACGACGACACCTTCGTGGTGCTGGACAACCTGCGCTGGCTGCTGGCCGCGCACCCGCCCCAGCGGCCCCTCTACTTCGGGAAGCGTTTCCGACCCTTCACCCGCCAGGGCTACATGAGCGGGGGCGCCGGCTACGTGCTCAGCCGGGGGGCGCTGGCCCGAGTGGCCACCGCTTTCACCCGCGGCACCTGCGGCCACACCGGCCCCGAGGAGGACGTGGCGCTGGGGCAGTGTCTGGAGCGGCTGGGGGTGGCCGTGGGGGATTCACGGGACACGTGGGGCCGGGAGACGTTCCACCCCTTCCCCCCCGAGATCCACCTCACCCACCGCTTCGCCCGGGACTTCTGGTACCAGCGTTACTGCTGGTACCCCGTCGTGGAGGTGGGTCACAGCCCGGGACCACCAGCCAAGGGGTCACCCTGCCACTGTCCGCTCTGGGGTGGTTGTACCCCCCCATGCATGGCCAGAACCCCCCAGGTGTATCCTCAGGAGCCCCACACGTGGCCACTGTCACCCTGTGAGTGGCCACAGCTCTCTTTGGGTGTCACCTTCCCCCACGGTCTGCGGCTGTAAGCGCTCCACACGCAACCACGGACCGCTTGTGCGGCTCCTGTGTCCCCACCGCGTGTGGCCGTGATCCCCCTTGCGTGTCCCTGGCCACCTCCCATGGCCGTGACAACCTCGAGGTGCAGCCACGTGTCACCCCCATGCCTGGCTGTCATGTTTTGCCATCACGGCCGTGGCATCGCCTCCCAAATCCCGGTGAGGTCCCGAGCCATGGCCAGGATGCTCCTACACTGTGTGTACTGTGCACTGTGTAGCTACACAGCCGCTGTGTGTGGCTACCGTGTCCCCCACGTGCGGCCACCGTGTCCCCCACGTGTGGCCACCGTGTCCCCCACGTGCGGCCACCGTGTCCTCTCTCACGTGTGGCCGCAGGTCCCCCATGTGTGACCACAGTGGCCTCGATCTTCCCAGCGCAGCCGTGATCCCCCTGCCATGGCCATGGCCCCCAGCACGTTCCCCCCATGTGTGACTGTGGTCCCTCTGCCCAAAATGCAGCCATGGTGTCCCCCTGTCACCCCGGTCCCCTCCACATCCCCTCCCCCTGCTCAGAGGCTGTGGTGATCAGGGGCAGCCTCCAGCCCCCTTCCCCATCCTGCTCTGCAGCACCGATGGGGTGGGGGGCACTGGGTGCTCAGTGCCTCCCCCCAGCCCCCCTCTGTCCCCCCAGGGTCCCCGGTGCTGCTCAGACCTGGCCGTGTCCTTTCACTACGTGCCGGGGGAGGAGATGTACACGCTGGAGTACCTGAGCCAGCGCCTGCGCCCCTACGGCTACAGACCCCGCTACCGGCCCCCCCTGAGCCTCCCCGCGGCCCCAAACGCCACCGGGACCCCCGCGGGCCCCAACGCCCCCCGGAGCCAGCCAGGTCCCCGAGCACCCAAAGCCCCCAAGCCCTGCCCCTCCCCTTCCTGGTCCCCTCTGCGGTGAAGCTTTGGGGGTTTCCTAAAGTGGGGTGCACCCAGGGGAGGGGAGGCCGCCCCCATCGCTCCATTCCTGCCCTGGGACCCCAAATACCCTGAGCCCACCCCGTGTCCTGCCCCCACCCCAACCCCCCTTCCCCGGCGGACTCGCGTGGCCCTAATTAGTGGCTGTTAATGAGCTTTGCGGGGATTGGATGGCCCTGATCCGGGGGTGCTGGGGCGGGGCACCGCGGGACGGGGGCCTGGGGGCTTTGGGGGGCCCCGGGGAGGGATCGAAGGTGTTTAAGCGAGACACGGGCAAGGGGGAGGATGGAAAGGGCCAGTCGAGGGGGGCTGTGGGTGATGGCACCCAGACAGGACCCCAAGATGGGGGACAGTGCAAGGCCTCTCTGTGGGGATTGTCCCCTCTTGTCCCCTCCTGTCCCCTGTGCCCACCTCTGGGTCCGAGGTGGCTGTGACCTCACTCTCCGTGTGACCCTGCCGGCCCCCCATTTGAGGCCGTGCCCCCCCTCAGGGTGCCCCCCATGGTGACAGTGGTCCCCGCATGACCCCCCCTGTTTCCCC